CCCTCTGGTGTCCGGAGCACCAGCTGTGTAGGCAGAGGCAGGAGAGCAGAAGCCCCTGGCCCTGCCAGGATGCTAGTAAGGGACCACCTTGACAAGTGCACCCGAGGCCCGGACCTACCTGAGCAGCTTGGGGACAGTGAACCTGAAGACATCACTGATGACAAGGCTGAGTGTCCCCAGGAGGAAGGTAGAACGGAACACCTGCCAGATGGCCCTCAGCAGTGGGCCCTGCTGGCTCCTTTCCTGCTGTAGGAGGGTCTCTGTCTCTGGGGCCTCCACGCCACCGCCTTCTCTCCTTTTCAACGCTGTTGCCTTGGCGTGCCTTAGGGGAGAGGAGAGATGGGCTCTGAGTCCCGTTTTATAGTCTCAGCTGCCAGACGCAGGACATTAAAGAGTTATTTTCCCAGCAAGGGTGTGGGCGGCTGTGGGCCCCACCTGGTTTCCTCACCTCTTCCTCATCACCCACGGACCCACTTATGAGACAGGCAGCCGGGGTGGGGGCAGGGCAGAAGGGCAGGCCTGAGGCCTTGTGGGAATGCACACACACGGGGCTCCTACTGTGTGCCAGGCGCTCCTTAGTCCTTCTAAGAACCCAGCAGCCCAAGTGTTGTCCCCATTTCACAGATGAGGAAACTGAGGCTCAGGGAAGTGAATTTGTCCAAGGGCACACAGTTGAGAAGAACCGGGATTCAATCCCAACCCTCTGCCTCCTGAGTCCATCCGATTTTTGATCCATCATTTTGCCACCTTGGAGGAAGGACAGCCCTCCCCTTCTGCCCCCACCTCACACAGACAACCAAGCAGGCCTTAGGTGGTTTTGAACCACAGAGAACTGGTTTAGAACCAGTTCAGAATCCCAGAGGATGTCCGTGGGCTCCAGCACTCTAGTTCTGGGTGAAACCACAGATGGAGGCTCAGGCAGCCTTAAAGCAATAAGGTCCCCAGCCTGTGGTCCTAACGGGGTCATGGGGCCCAGCTAAGGTGAGGGAGGGAGAGGAGAAGGTGGGGAGGGGCTCCGGTGACGCAGCTGCCGACAGCTGAGCTGGTCCCCTCTCTGAGTCCTGTCTGGCTCTGACAGCCTATGGGGTTATCAGCAACTTCAACCGCCATTTACACAGCTGTGACCGGGCCAGGTGCCAGGACCAGCCCTTTACACACAGGAACGCACTGATGCCCCAACCTCCTTGCCAGGGGGCTCTGGCTAGGCTGCCCATTTTACAGAAGTGGAAACTGAGGCTCTGAGAGGTGGTGACAGCTGCCTGCGGTCACACAGCAAGGGCAGAGCAGGGATTTGGGCCCAGATCTCTAGCCAGGGTTCACATAGTGCCTCCTTGTGCACCAGGAACCACCTCCCAGTCCCTACCATGAGAAAAAAAAAAAAAAGGAAGAATAAGAAAAAAAAGCATCTCGTGAGCACAGGTGACCAGACCCTTGCTAACAAGGCCAAGGTCCTTGTCCCTCATTTCTGGCCTGGCTTCTTGTTTGGTTTGGCATCCATGGAAGGTTGTGGATGTCACCTCCGTGCAGAGGCCATCCCTGACCACCCCTCCCTGTGGGAGCCTCCGTTTAACCCGCTGCCCTCACAGCTGTGCCCTCTCCAGCCCTGTCCGTCTGTCTTATCAGAACCCAGGGGACAGACCCCGTGCCTGTATTTTCTACCAGTCTGTCCCAGCACCTTGTCCAGCCCCCGAGCACAGTAGGAACACAATAAATACTTGCCAAACGAATGAGAAAAAACAGATTGAGGGCTGTCTGCAAAGGGCCTAACAAGAGTGCCCAGCACATGTCATAGAAATTCACAGAAGGAAGGTAGGAAGGAGCTTGGTTTAGTGGACGGAACCTGGCCTCTGACCGGGATACAAACACCTGCCCTGTCTCTTCTCTGAGCCGCAGTGTTTCCATCTGTAAAATGGGATGGGGGAAGAGACGACCATGAAGGCCTCTTCCTGGCCGAACGCTGTGCTCGGGCCTGTTCTAGCCGATCACCCCAAGAGTTAGTGTGTTCAGCCTGCAGGCCCCATAGCAAACTTTTTGTTCTCCCGCAGGTCTTACCTCCCATGAAGGAAGATCTTCAGACCAGTATCTGGTCTTTGGTCTGAGGGCCATTTAGTGCAGGACTCACCCTGAATGCAGGGGATGTGAGTGAGTGGCATGGGTGAGGTGTAAGGTGGGGCTACAAAAGGGAGTGGTGGGGACTGCGGCAAACTTAAAAGCACATGCCCTGGCCAGTAGCGTAGCCTCTAACCCAGATGCACTCTCCCGCTGCTGTGCGGGGATATGGCCCAGGGCTGCCAGATCTACTCTGAGAACAGAATTCCAGATTTTTATGTGGTATCTCCAAAGTTTTAAATACTGGCAACTTATTAAAAACCAAAACAACCCAAACAAAACACCACATGGGCCAAATATACCTTGTGAGCCTGATTTGGCCAGCAGGTGGCTGGTTGGTGACCTCTCAGGATGACATCCTCCCCCGTCCCCCAGTGGTTGCAAAATATTTCAGAAATAAAACCAAAGTTCTCCCTGTGTGTCATCAGTTGACTTGGAAGACTACTGAGCCTGGTCTTTGTATAACCTTGTCTTTCTTTCTGTCACTTGTTCGTGGCAGGATTCTTAAACTGTTCTGGAGAATGTTTCTACCTTCTAGCTCCAGTGTTGAGTGACCCATAATTTTCATAGTGGCTGGGCAGGCCAGGAGTTGGGAGAGAGGGATTAGAGTTCCAGAGCCCTGTGGAGTGAATTCTGTCCCCTCTGTAGTCATTCAAGAGGAAGGGAGTACGGCAGGATACGCCTGGGGTGAGAGAGTGCTGACAGCTTGGTTTACTCACGTTACTTACCCTGTTTGGAAAAACACACCCCAGCCCTTTGGGGAAGAGCCTCTTCCCTCCTCTGTGGCTCTGAAGGGACCACCAATCATGGGACCAGCCCAATGGACACGGATTGGCCCCTGATAGGCACATGACCTGAGCCAGGCCAATCAGAGTCCTTCCTTGGGATTTTTCTATTCATACATGGATGTCAGCAGAGAGAAGCTCTTTCACTCTGCTGGGGTAGCTGAATTGGCATGGTTTGGGACAGGCCTTATGGAGAGACTGACACACAGCTGCACTGAGAGATGAAGGGAGAGAATCCTGACATCACATGCGTCCCTGGATCCAGCCAGACCTGAGCCTATAGTCTCTCTCCCTCTCTCTTCCCCCTCCTCTAATCTGTGGGATTCAGCCATCTGCAACGACCACCACAAAATCCCAGAGTATGCAAGGGCACTTTGTAACTCTTCCACCAGAGCTAACTTACTTTTTTTGTTCTATCCCCTCAAACACTGAGGTCCAGTGAAGTTAAGCAACTTGTCCAAGGTCATCAGCTACCCGATGGCAGGGCAGCATTTAACGCAATTTTATCTAATCCTGTGTTGAAGGCTCAGTACACCAGACCTTCTCAAATGAGGTTCCTGGGCTCCAAGGGCTCCACAGAAGTTTCCAGAGATGCCACTGATGGCGAGAGTGAGGCAGAGTGGACAACTCCAGAGATCTTGAAATTCTCTACATTACTAATATTGCCTGAGCTCTTACCATGTTCGAGGAATTCTTTTCCATAAATCATCTTTCATCCCCACAAGCTGCAAGCTAGGGGTTAATGACATGGCTATTGAACAGATGAGAAAACTGAGGCCCAGGAAACCAATTATTCACATTACACAACGAGTCGTTGTCTGCACGTTACAGGCCACCATCCCTAACCCTCCACCCCTGGTCGTAAAATACCCCTTCTGTTTCCTGCCTGTGGTTTTGCCACGAGAACTTCCATCCGGGCTCCTCTGAGCTCTCCCCGTTGGTCAGTCTCCTTCTAGAATGTGCAAAGCACCCTGGGAGGAACCACATCTGAGGCCTGCTCGATTTCCCTTAGTGGGATGATCAGCTGGGAGGCAGGGGAGTGTGGCAGTGGAGCCCAGAGTGGGGTCACGGGCTGGACTGGGGGTCAAATAACGACGTTTGCTGACCACTCAGGTCGAGCTCTTGCCCTCCACACACTCACCGCTGGGCCGCACTGAGGTTCCTCCTCCATTCCCTCTCAAACTGGGAAACGAGCTCTTCGGAGGTGTTCTCTCGCCCAAGCGACCAGAGGTCTTTCTGCCCCAGTGGCCTCCTGTAGCCCCTCCAGACCAGCCTGTAAAAGAAGGTCATGTGGGCAAGCTCCTTCTGCCACTCATCTCTGCAGGGTCCCTGCAGGTAGCTGTGTGACCCCGGGTAAATCACTTTACCTCTCTGTGCCTCTGCTGGCCCCTGGGTAAAATGAAACCAACAAACCAACCCCAGCTAACATTTGCAGGGCACTTCTCTGTTTACAAAGGTCTCATTTAATTCTCACGTGAGGCCAAATAATAATGGTAGTTTATCACTATGTTTTAATTGTAAATTGATAATTCATAATTGTATAAATGTATGGGGGTAGATTATTATTGACCCATTTTACAGATGAGGAAAACCACAGAGGCTCAGATTAAGTGATTTAACCAAGGGACAACCAGCGTGGCAGGGGTAACAGACCTCTGCCCACGAGTCAGGAATCCAGGGTCCAAAATTATCATCGTGGAGGAAACTTGAGCTCCTCCCTCAGCTTCAGACATCCTCGTCTCCCCATTGTTCACTGCTGCAGCCACCTGGCCTCAGGGCCTTTGCATGTGCATCTGACTCTGCTTAAAATTCTCTTCCCATGACTGCTCACCTGCCTATTTCTTACTCACCCTTCACATCTGAAGCTTACACATGACTTCCTTAGGAAAGCCCACTTTGACCCCCACCAAGCCAAGCAGATTCCATCATAAGTGTCTAGAGTTTCCTGAACCTTTTTTTTTTCTTGAGATAGGGTCTCGCTCTGTCACCCCAGCTAAAGTGCAGCATGTCATCATAGCTCACTGCAGCCTCAAACTCCTGGGCTCAAATGATCCTCCTGCCCAAGCCTCCTGAGTAGCTGGGACTACAGGCGCGTGCCCCCACACCTCGTTAATTTTTCTATTTTTAGTAGAGACGGGGGTCTTGTTCTTACTCAGGCTGGTCTTGAACTCCTGACCTCAAGAGATCCTCCTGCCTCGACCTCCCAAAGCACTAGGATTACAGGCGTGAGCCACCATGCCTGGCCTTGAGCCTCTTTTTTATAATGCTCATTGCAATTATGACTATTTATTTTTGGGGGATCTAATTATTTAGTGTCTTCTCGTCCATTGGATGATAAGCACTGTGGGGGCAAAGGTAGTACTTGTCTCAGTCTCCCTCCTCTGTGATGTCACCTCCTGGAACAGGATGCAATATGATTTGCTAAATGAAGCCACTTATAGTTCTGTGACCTTGGGCAAGTCACTTGCCATCAATAGGCCTCAATCTTCTCACCTTAAAATGAGAACGTTCCCAGTGCATGGGTCGGTACGAGCTGACTGTAGCCGGCACATACGTGAGAAATTATATGCTATAGACTCCCACAGTGGGAGCACTATTCTCTTTTCAGGTCTCTGATCTTTGTGATGACACCTTTGACTCTTTTCTAAGAATTGCCAATTTCTCTTTTCTGACACAGAGCAAATTCGGGGAAGCAACAGTTCTGTGTTATTAATACTGCTTGGTTTTCTCTGAAATTATTTTTAGAGTTCTACTAGGTGGCAAGTGATGCTACAGATTTTTCCAATTTCAGCATTGATAGTAAATTTCCTTTAAAAAAAAAGCTTATTAGAGTAAAAAAAAAAGTGAGTTAATTTAAAGAAAAACATTAAGTGAATAGAGAATGGGTGATACCCCAATGTGGCAAAAAGCAGGAAGAGTGGTCCATAAACGCCGAAGTTTGGGAAGCAGGGGGTTAGACCCCCAGTAGAGCTGTTTAGAAAACTTCTAAGCTCTTTCTACTGATTCCAGACATCCAAAGTGTCACGTTCTTCATTTATTTAATAACCACTTACACACATCATGTGTCAGGCGCTGTTCTAAGTGCTTCACAAACCTCATCTCATTTAATCCTCACAACTCATGAAGTAGGTGCTGTTCTTAGTCCCATTTTACAGGTGTGGAGACTGAGGCACAGCGAGGTTAAGTGGCTTGCCCAAAGCTACACAGCCAGGAAGTGGCAGGGCCAGGGTTCTAATCCACGTGGCCCAGCACTACTGAGGTCTGACTGCAGTGTGGTCAGGAGGGGCCTGTTAGGTGTGGTGACGCTGGAGAAGTCTTCTCCATGAGCCTGGGACCCCCTGGAGAGTGGACACTTGGTCCTTTATCTCTTTACCCCCAGTGCTTAGCACATAGTAGGTGCTTATCAAATGTTGGAGTGACTGAAGATACCATTTTATCGAGGACCTGCTAAGTGCAGGCACTTTCTACTGATGAAGCTAGAGCTGCGTCCATTCTACAGAGGGGAACACAGAGATTCTGGGTGTCTGCGACAGGGGCTACTAAGAGGCGGAGCCTGGATTCAAATCAAGATCTCACTCCAGTGAGTGACCGGGGATGGGACGCAGGTGTTGGCCACACCAAAAACTCAGAGGGAAGCGCCAAGGCTGGGACAGAGAAAGCCTGGTCAACCTCTGTGAGCTTGGGAGGAAACCTTGTCAGGGGGAGCCCATAGGGGGAATCGGAGCAGCAAACACAAGGGGGTGAGAACACTGCCCCTTCCCTGCCACTTTACTTACCTAGAAACCCACCAGAATGTGGCCTTGGAGGGGAAGGAGGCCCCGGCCTCCGGGCAGGGATTCTGCAACAGACAAAAGTCAGAGGAGGGGGTGGCCTTGGTTTCTGTCCCACAGGGAGCATGTGGCGAGGGGAACCAAAGGTCAGAAGACAGGATGAACTGACCACGCACTTAATGGTCTAAGTCCAAGCCCAAGTGCCCTGACTCCCTGCCAGAGGTGGACACCAACAGACAGGTGCTTTCTGGCAACCAGGGCAAAAAGCGCTTGGGCCGCAGGACTGATAGCGTCCGCGAGGTAAGAACTAGCAGCTGCTCAGAACTGTTATTATGCCAAGACCAAGAAGCTCTGAAAGCACGGACCCAGCATGACAACATCTTCAACAATACCCCTCAGTGAACCCTGTGCAGAGGGATCTGTCCCGCGGTTTGTCAGGTGCTCCAGAAAGACCGCACCAGTCTGCACTCTGCACCAGGGGGTGTGAAGGGACCAACTTCACCACGTCTCTGCCGTCACAGCTTGCTATTGATTTTCGATTTTTTTTTTTTTTTTGCCATTCTGATAGGCAAAAAAAAAAAAAGTCCTATTATAGTTTTAACTAGATTTCTCAAGCATTTGAGCATATTCTTAGATGATCTCAGATCAGTCTCTTCCTTGGAGAATTCTTTCCTGATTTCACAGACTTCGTCAGACTGAGCATTTTCCGCAGGTGTAATTCTCTACGCATTTGTGTCATTACGGGACTAATGCCTGGCCCCCCTGCCATGAGGACAGGGGCTGTATCTGCTTGTTCACCACAGATTTCTACACCTCCCCAGGGTACAGAGCAGGAGTCAGCAAACTACAGCCTCTGGGCCAAATCTGGCCCGCTGTCTGTGTCTGCAAATAAAGTTTTATTGGAACACAGCCAATGCTCATTTGTTGCCATATTATTTATAGCTGCTTTTGTGCTCTGATGGCAGAGTTGAGTAGCTGCCATGGAGATTGTTATATGGCTCACAAACCCAAACATATTGTCTATCTTGACTTGTATGGAACAAGTCTGCCAACCGGTGGCACAGAGTAGGTGTGCAATTCATGTTTTGCTGAGCGGCTGAGTCAAAAATTATAGAACTTTGGTCACACAGGGAGACTGAGGCCTGAAGTGGGGTAGGAACAAGAAAGACCTGGCAACTTACAGACTTCTGGGGGTCTTTGGGGAATAAGGGGGGTTCATCTGCCAGGCAGGACAGCACAAACTGTGCCACCACTAGCAACAAGCACAGGTAGGTGGACAGGTGACGGATGGGGTCACTCTGGAAGCCCTGTGGGAGAGAAAGCAGAAGTCAGGCTGAGCGTGGCAGGCAGAGGACAGGCGTGAGGGGCAGGGTGGAGAGGGTGCCCACAGGGGGTAAAAGGTTGAGGCTGAAGAGGGTTTTCGAATGCTGGGGGCAGGGCCCAGGCAGGGGATCAGGACCACAGTGGCTGAAAGCCAGAGCCCCTGGCATTCCTGGTTGTCCCAATTTGCAGACAGCTGACTTACACATACTCTAGACATAGCCTGTACAAAAAGGGCCAGGGCTGTGTCTGGGGTTTGTCCTTAGCCACGTGATGTCTGGCTACAGCCACTGGGGCAACTAGATGAAGGAACACTTTATCTTGTTCCTTGTGCCACAAAGGAGATCCTTCCTCCATCCCAGTAGTCAGCCCAATCTCCCAGCCTGCTCCCTCCTGGCCAGTGTTTACAGAGAGGAAGCTGGGTTCGTGGAGCATCTGCTCTGCCCCCGGGCACGCGCGGCGTTCTTCCCATGCGCGGCTCACCAGGCCTCTCCTCGCCCTGACCCCAGCTGGGCTTACACACTGTGTCTTAATCATGGGAAACCAGGGCTCAGAGAAGCGAGAGCACCTTGTTCAAGGGCACACAGACGATCTGATCCAAATCATGAGTTTTGCCACCACACCCTGTTCCTGGTCATAACACCCTAATTTTCCTTCCCTACGCTCAGGCGTATGGTTTGTGCAGAACCGACTCCCCTCCAGTGGCAGGAGGGCGATCGAGGCCTGGCCAACGAGTACATTCCACTCCCCTGGCTACTGTGACTGGGTTAGGAATGGACCTTGGACCCATGCTGAGCTAGTGAGAGCTGGAACCACCGGAAGATTCCACCAGATTTGCTACATTGGTAGAACATAAGTGTGGAGCTATTTGTGGCTTTTCTTGTCACACCATTGGAGAATGAAGCTACCAGGGCAGATCTAAGAGACAGAAATGGACATCAGGTGGTGGTACCTGAATGCCTGGATCACTCATGCCTGGGAGATCAACGGACATAATCTAATTTTAATAAAATTCCCTCTGATTTTTCCTTCTCCTTAAGCTAGTGTGAGTTGAGTCTTTGTAGCTTAAAACAAGAGCCCTAGTTTCAATAGTCATAATTCCTCTACTGGATTTTATAAGCTTCTGGGTTTTTTGCAGATAGTAGACAATTTGATGTTCTACTACATTATGGCCCACCTTCCAATACTGCTATTTTCTTATTTCTATTGGAAAGTTTGTTCTGAGTCTGGGTGACATGGACCTGGGCTCTGAACTTCCAAGCCATGTGACCCCAAAGAAGTCATGCCCTCCTCTTAGCCTTAGTTGCCTCATCTTTAAAACGGGACTGTGAGAATCTACCTCGAGTGCTATTGTGAGAGCCCAGCGCAGACACGTCTGTAAGTACTTGCCAGAGTCCTGGCGTGTGGCTGGAGCTCTAGAACACGCATGGTTCCAGTATTATCGTTTCTACGCTGCGTCCCAAACAGCTGATTCCTAAGTCAACAGCGGGAGCCCCCCTTCCATAAATTAGTGGACGGGCCTGTGGAATTTTCCCATTCGTTACAAAGTTGCTGTTTTTAAAAAATCGATCCTTAAGGACAGGATGATGTTTCTCGACCTTCTCTTTTAGGAATAGGATAAAGGGGCCACTGGACTCTAGGAGTGACGATCTGTAAGCTGCTGCCCCCTGACCCTCTCCCAGAAGCCTTGGCTCTGCTGAGGCCAGAGGTTCTCACCAGGTGGGCAATTTTGCTGCCCCACCCCCACCCCCACATTTGGCAATAAATGGAGACACTTTGGGTTGCCACAGTTGGGGGAGGTGTGCTACTGGCGTCTAGTGAGTACAGGCTGGGGACACTGTTCCACATCCTACAGCAAACAGGAGAGCCCTACCCTTCACAGAAAGTCAACCAGCCAAGTGTCAATACAGCTTGGGTTGAAAACACCTGGTTCTGACCACACATTTTTCCCCTTTGCAGAGAAAATGACCCCGCTTGTCTCCCGATATGGAAATGCTGCTTCCCAGGTTGGGAAACAGAAACAGGGGTGGGTGTGCAAAATGAGCGTGTAAAAGCAGAGGCGTGGGAATGTGGGGAGGGCGAATGTGTGAGAACGGGGGAAGTGTGTATGTACGTAGGGTAAGAGTGCACGTGTGTGTGTCTGTGCCCAGGTAGAGTGTGTGCGTGCACTTGTATGATGCATGAATGGGGACATACGAGTGTGTCCCACGTGCAAGTGGAGCGTGTGATGTGGGTGTCTTAGACAATGGGAATTTGTGTTGATTAAAAACGCATGGGATGATGGGTACCTCTAGGTGCAGGAGTGAGTTTAAGTGACTGGCCTGTGTGTGTCTCTGTGTAGACGATAAGTCATGTGGGGAAAGCGAAGGAGGAAGGGTGGGACCCACACCCTGACGCCACCATGTTGGTTTCCCCAGGTGGCGCAGGCCTCACTTACCCCTCTTGAGGCCTGCTGGGCGGCGTGGGCAGCTGGCAAGAGAAAGCAGAGCAGCCAGTACCCAAACAGCACCCCCGACGCCTGGACTCCCTTCTTCCTCTCCGCGTGAATCAGGAACACAGCGAAGCTCTGGACGAGAAAGTTGGGGCGGGCCACTTAGGGTGGCTAGGGAGGGGAGGGGGTCTGCTTTCCCCGTGTTCTCCGCCAGGGCAGGGAAAGCAGCAGCTGGACCCAGCCAGGCTCCTGCCCGAGGACATCATTACCATCGTGGTGAGCCACACCGTAGGGTGGATGAGGAATTCCGGGGCCTCAGGCGTTCCCCGCTGGATTTTCCAGAGAGCGACAGACACAACGAAGGTCCACAGGACTATAAGGGCGAACCCAAGCACCTGGGGAAACAGGTGTGGATGAGGCCTGGGAGGGGTGATGAGAAAGGTGACAGCAAACTGGGGGGTGACCCCATGTCCAATCAGGTGGTGGTTCTGCAACATCCCAACTGGGGCCCTGTAATGAACCAACGTCACAAGCTGTCAACGTGCCAATGTGAAGAATGTGGAAGGGGCCTTGCAGATCAATCCTGACCTGTGACAGTCATATAAATAACACACAACAAAAACTTGAGCCAACCCAGTGTTTTCCAAAATGCAGGCGGTGCTCCGACAGTGCACATGCAAGATGACTTTAGGTATGAAGAAAGAGCAGACGACGAAATGTACTCGCCAGGTACAAAAACTATACTCTCTCCAAGTCATTTTCAATCCTTGCTGTTAAATCAAAGAGAAACTCTCTGTTGGACCAGTAAGCTTCTAGGGTCTAATATGTACTGGTCTCTCTTTTGAATAAGAGCAAGAAAGTGAGACAGCATGCCCACGCCAGCGGGAAGACCGGAGCAAGGAACATCGGAGGAAGTGTTGAAAGTACCTGTTAGTTTAAAGCAGAGGTTGGCAAACTACACCTGCCAGCCAAGTCTGGCTGCTGCCAATTTTTGTATGGCCTGTGGGCTAGAGATGATTTTACATTTTTCAATCACTAAAAAAAAAAAAAAAATCAAAAAGGAGCATAATATGTTGTGACATGTGAAGTTACATGAAAGTCAAATTTCAATGACTATAAATAAAGTTTCATTGAAACAGTCACGCCTATCGTCTAAGGCAGCTTTCATGCTGCAATGGTAGAGCTGCGTGTTTGGAAGGGAGACCATCTGGCTTGAAACCTTAAACACTACGTAACTACCTGGCTCCTTCAGTTTGCCAGCCCCTGGAGAGGTGGTAGGCAATACTGCAAAAGTTCACAAAATGGTGTGGGACTGAATAAACTTTGAAGAACATTCTTGTAGGTGTCCAGAGGACAAGGGGATGGATGAGTAGAAACGTGTACAGGTGAACGCCAGGGATTGTCTAACACATGAAAATAGATACGTAACAATTGTAAAAACAGTTCTATGACACTGCCAGTGGGGAAACAGAAAAATAAATGCATAACTTCGGAAATTTTAAAATAGGTTCATCCTGGCATGGCCCCCAAATTATCCTGTGTACCCCAGAAGCACACGTGGCATACTTTGGGAAATGCCAGGTTACCATAGCTATAAACTTTGTAGGAATGTGTGAATGTTTGTGTGCGTTTATGCATGCATGGATTTTCATAATTATAAAATCTGTTTGGGGGAACCTTGTTCTACCAAGTTACCTCTGTGGCTTTTCTAGAACTGTTTGATTAACAGGTTACCTTCCCGTCTCCACCCTGGGTGCCCCCTGATGGAAGGAGGGTCTGCTTTGGGTCTCCACCAGGTCCCGGCCTGTCCCCCCACCATGTTGTCTGGCTCCAGGCTCCCAGGGGCGGTGGCTACCATTTTGGCTTTGAAGAGGGGGGACATCTGGATGTAGCCCCTGCCATGGCGGTGGATGTAGAGGAGGTAGATGGGGCCGAGGATCCAGAGGTACATGGGGGGCACCCAGGCCCCTGCTGTTCTCAGGAAGCACAGGTTGAGCAGGCTGGCAGCAGCAGGTTCGGGCTCTGTCTGGTTCCAGACCTGAGGGAACGCCAGGGAGATCCTTACAAGACAGCACGTAGCAGCAGTCCCCAACTCACCAGCCCAGAAGGCCAGGCAACTTTTTGGTTCCCTAACATTTACACAAAATTGTACCAAACGCCCTTTGTAATACCTAACAATTCTCAACTCCTTTCATCCTAACACCAACCCCATCAGGTAGATGTAATTATCATACTGATTAGGCAGATAAGGAAGCTGAGGCTCAGAGAGGTTGAGTCGCTTGACTGATATCACTCAGCTGGGAAGCATCGGTGCTGGGATTTGAACCCAGGGTGTTGGGTCCTGGAGTCTAAAAGACCTGAGCTCCTAATGAGTGTTAGGCAGACTGTCCCTTACTTCTTATAACAACTCTAGGAGGTCAGCACTGCTGTCTCCATTTCACAGACTGGTAGACTGAGGCATTGAGAGGGACCTGTCTCCTCCAGGCCCACACAAATGGAAAGTGGCAGCTGTGACCCAGGCCTGTCTGATCCCAAAGCTGGTTCTACTGGTGTTCATCTGTGATTTTTATCTCAGCAGGTCTGCTGACCCTAACTAACCCTAGAAGAAACCTGAAGTTTAGTGGACCCTGGCCTCTCTAGTTCTCTCTCCTCTGTATTTTCACTCCTCCTGGTTTCACCACTCAACAGGTGTGTAAACTTTAACCTGGCTGTGCCTCAGTTTCCTTCCCCGTAAAAGAGGGATAATAAGAGACTCTACCCTTAAGGGTTGTATTAAATAGGTTACTAGCAGCAAGGCACGTAGCACGGTACTGGGCACAGAGTAAGCCCTCTGTATACATCAGCTGTTCCTGCCTTACCTACCTGCCTGCCCACCCCCACCACAAAGGCTGGGAGTTTGCAACCCCTACCCTGCCCCAAGAACTCCCTCCCTAGCGTCCTTTGCTGAGAGCCCAGATGGGAGAGGAAGCCAGAGAGGGAGGGAATCCGGGAGCCCTGAAGGGGCTCTCTGGGGGTGGGAAGGGTTTGGGGGACCCACTAGCTTTATGCAAATGAGGGCCAGAGCCCCGGGTAGCTGGGAGGTCTGGAGCCCCTTCAACAGTGCTGGGCACTCCAGGCGGGCTTGGTGAAAGGGTCGCAAGCTGTTGCTGTTGCTGTTAGGGGCCCCTGGCGGTCTCCCAGGGCCAGGAACTTGCCGGCCGGGAGGGGGCGGGGGAAGGAAGGGGTCTCTTCTCTCCCCAGTACCGCGGCCCGCGAGATCTGCGGCCAAACCGCGCCTGGAAAAGGCGAGTGTGGCGGGAGAGGGGCACTCACCCCCGGCCCCGTGCAGGGCTCGCCAGGCGCGGCCATCGGCGCCGTCCGTGCGGTGGTCCTGGCGTCGGGCAGTGGTCGGTCCCTGGGCAGCCTGCTCGGCGCGCTCGCGGCCCGGGAAGGGGCGAGTCCGGGCAGATCTGGCCGGGATTCGAGCTCCGGGATCGCGAGGCTCTGGGCAAGGTCCAGCCGCGCGGCGGGGGTGGGGCGACGAGGGGTAAACGAGGCGAGGTCCGGGGTTGGGCGGGGGGAGTGGGTTGCGGGGAGTTGGAGGGAATGGGATCCCCGAATCCCCGAAAGTGCAGTGGCATCCTCCTATTTCCCTTCTCCCCCCTGCAACAAGGATCATGCCAAACTTCCCGAACACTTTGGATCCAGTAATCCTAGGAATTTATCCTGGCGAAAGAACGCAACAGGTTTGGCGCGGGTTTGTTAACAAGGACACCTGGCGATGGCCTAAGTATCAGATATGGGGGAACCACCTGGTCAAGGCCACAGGTGGAGGCTGTGTGGCAGTTTCCTCACCAAGGGATCAACGACGTCCACCTGTAGGGTGGTGGGAAGAATTTGAGAAGATTATTAAAGAGTTTAGCACAGGGCTAGGCATACAGTAGATGCTCACTAAGAGTTAGCTATTAATATTATTATTACTATTAATATTATCGTTAGTCCATGGGTTACTAACCAGTGGTTTAAATTCCGCTGTATACATATATTAATATGGAAAGATGGTTGCTAAAAGCTAGGTGAAAAAAAGAGACTATAATACAAAATAGGCTATATTTAAAAAAAGGAAAAAAAGACTATGCCTAAATTGGGGAAAGTAGAGAAGGAAGTCAAGGCATTTACTTTCCTCTCCCGGAAAGTGTGTGTCTGTGTCAGAGTCCCAGCCACTGCTTCCTCCCCCCAGACAGAGTCTCGCTCTGTTTCCTGGGCTGATGCCTAGCTCACAGCAACCTCAAACTACTGAGCTCCAGCGATCCTCCCACCTCAGCCTTCCAGAGTGCTAGGATTACAGGCGTGAGCCACCACGCCCAGCCCTAGCCACTGCTTCTTAGAAATGACGCTAATGTTACCATATGTGCATGGATAAAAAGATGGAAATGCACTAAAACAATGATCATAGTGAATCTCAGTTTTCTTTTCCAGTTTCTTTCTTGCTGCAATGAGCAGGTATTCCTTTCAAGATAGGAATGAAAAAATTCTGCTTTCAGACAAGTACAGGTGCTCAGTTTGGGTGAAGAATTAAAACCCTCTGCACTCTCCATGCTGTCCTGTTATTTCTCCTGGTCTTGTCTTCCTGTTCTACTCCCACCCCAGAGGCCTGTGTTTCCCCAGCCTTGTTTCCCCCAGTCTTTTGGAATCTCCCCAACCCATGTCTGGGGCTCCAGCAGTTACTCTAAAGCTGTCTTCCTGAGTCTTCTGGAGGAGCAGGGACACAAAGATCCCAAGGATTTATCTCCAAGCTGAATCATATTTATTTGAGGTAGTTTTAGTGGAGGCTGGTAGAAATTTGGGGGAGGCTAAAGCCCCCTCTCCCTGCAAGCCACTTCCCCCTACCCCGCCCCCTCATTGGCATTACCAAAGTCCTGGTGCTTTATTTCTTGGCATATTTGAAGGTGAATTTGGAGGACTAGTTAGGAAGGCAGGAAGAACACAAAGGAAATCAGTTAGGGTCAGCCAAGAACAGGACTCAGGGATCCCAATTCCTGCTTTCTAGCTCTCTGCAGAGAGTCCTTCTCTCTGGGCCTCAGCTTCCCATTCTATAAGGTAAGAAGTTTCCATAGGTCAGCACTTCCTAATTGGTGGTTTTCAATTCCCTGGTGATTTGGGTAAAAGGCATCTATTTCAATTGTGGGTATAAATTACAAAC